AATCTTACACGTAACAGCCAACACTGACAGGGAGCTCTAACTAACCAGCTGCACCCAGTGCCAAGTTCTCTCCCGTTCCAGGCTTCCCAGCCCTAAAAGCTCTATTTAATGGTTAAAGGACAGAATGGCGCTTTTCACTGTACCGCATACCGTACAACAGTGCATGACAATGTGATTATTGCACGTCTTAATGGTAAGATGACTCTCAGACTAAAACATTCCTAACTCCAGGAAGCAGCACTGTCAGTGCAGCGGACGATAACCTCATTGTGAAAAACTAGTCCATGACAGCTGAGCCCTGGGACTCTGAGCTAGTAACGGGCATTGGATATGTTTGTATGTAGTTGCAGATTCTAGCATTGTTTTATTACTGCAATCATGGGTTGTTCTTTTGAATAGATGATCTACTACCAAATATTCACTATCTTAAAATGTGTCCCTTTTCATCTCAGATAGTTCCATTATTCATTCTTTACAACCTAATGTATTCTCTTTGTATGAGAACAAATGTCCAATATTCAAGCTTCTTTTTTTTAATGTTAGACTATGTGAATCATAAGATAAAACCTGATGGTAAACTTAAACAAAGCCTACTTTAATCAAAATAACTTCAACCTCACGTCTAAGTTATCCAAAGAATGAAATATAAATGGTAGGGCTGTCATTGTTCTAGGTTATCATTTGGACCTTTGAGCACATGATGGTACGTCTGCAGCGTCTGAGTCTCAGGAATTATCAGACTTTTGGTGATTTAAAGTTAATTGTTATAGAGTCCATTTAGTAGTTGCTCTGCTTTTAAATCACACCATGTTTCTCAGCAGATGGAGCTGCAAAAAGGAGAGCGTAAGTAAGTCCTTAAAGTGCTCAGAAACAAATGTGAACATCTATAGTTCAGTGACAGTTGGTCTTTTCTCTTTTGCAGTAACACAATAAGCAGCTGTTTCAACTCTGTGCCTTTGCACTGCACACATACACAAATGATTGCATGTGTGAAAACAAAGGTAAAGCATCACACTCAAACATAAAAGGTAGCATACTCTACTAAGCCAAGTGATGTGAAATTAAAATAACTCCATTACCGTTTACAGTTTCAGCTGAGAACATGGCAACACCATGTGTCTGTGTCACATAAACTGTCTAAACACGGTGTCACATTTCCCTCACAGTGCTAGTGAATGCCCAGCCAGTAATTAGGGTTTGTTTGGCTGATTGAACCATGTCATGTTAGAGGTGGAGCAGAGAACCAAACATTTCTACAGGCTCCGTAATAACAAGCTAGGTCTGCCCTGAAATGACATCTGGCTAACACACACTTTAACTCACACAGATTTGTGTGTATATGCATGTGTATCTGTGTGCGTGGATGTATCTGCCATCTTAGTTTGTGTATGTCTCAAAAGTACTTCACCGCCTTTGTGGCTTTCAAAGTCTGAATATTTGTGTGTGTGTGTGTGTGTGTGTGTGTGTGTGTGTGTGTGTGTGTGTGCGTGCGTGCGTGTGTCGTGTGTGTGTGCGCGTGTGTGCGCGTGTGTGTTGCCTGAATGTGTGTACATGTTTAATTGCTACATAAACTAGTTTGACACCCACAAACAGGACAGAGCTGCTGTAAATTTGTAATGGTGGTGATTGCATCTTTCTATTTGAAAAATTACACTAATGAGCAGTGATGTGTAAAAATGTCACAAAACCTATAAGAAAAAAGAGAGGAGAAGATGATCATAATGTCTGGGAATGGGAAGCTTGGAGCAAAAACACGAATGACAGTTTAGTTGACGACCAAAACTGTCACCAAAATGCAACAAATTGGGCCCAAATAATTATCATGTGTATGTAACATTTAGGAGGATCTATAGGCAGGGAAATAATATAATATTCATAGATATGTTTTCATTAGTTTATAATCACCTGAAAATAAGAATAGAAAAGAATTATCTACAGAGGGAGATGGTCCTCTTCTATGGAGGCCGTCATGTTGAACCGCCATGTTTCTACAGTAGCCCACAACGGACAAACCAAACACTGGCTCTAAATAGGGCCCCTGTCCTGTTGTGTCATCTGATTATTACACATACAGCACCACAAGTGCTGTTGATGCAATTTACCCCCATGCTCTCTGCACTTGGCAACATTAATTATTGATGGAAATCGACATCAGCAACAAATGGTCAGCTGCCGGCTTGACACTGCACCCAAAATAAAATCCATAAGAGAAATGTGCTGTACAGTCTAATGACGGGCAATGTGGACATACTGTACACTTATAAAATATACTGTACAGTTGTCAGTTTATGAGGTACACAGTCTAATATAACAGCCCTGCAATAAGTCCTTCCTTCAAGGTTATAATGTTCTGTTTTTGTTGAAACTGTTAAAGAGTGGTGTTGATTTCACTGTGTGGTCATTTTGGATGCTTAAGTTTGTGGTGCTGTTCAACTGTATGGCATTATACTGACAGGTTTTCCTATTATTTTGTCCGCCCATTTATATCAGTGAGGTTAGGCTGAATGACAGAAACATATCTCTCTGCCTGTCTCTGTACCTAATAAAGCAATTGAGTGTGTATTTATAACCGTATGTATCAAATTACATACGGTTAGGTATATGTATCATATGTCATTTTATATTGGTGTATAACATGATACTGTAAAACTACAAGTGTTTAAAGACAAAATAACTGATTGGAAGGTTAGCTTTTTGGCTATTTTCAAATTAAAATGTGATATTAAAAGAGACACATTAAGGGACCAATAACTGGGTATAAATGGTAAATAAAAGTCTCCGACGACAGCCCCATTACTACTGTCTCACCAGTCTATATCATCACATCACCCAACCTCATACGGGTCGTTACACTGTACTGAAAACCCTGAGAACACAGAGACATTAACAAAAGGCTTCAATAAGTCCATAATAGCGCTGTATAAGGCCTGAGCCATATGGCACATGGTGTTGTCAATGTTTCACTTTCTCCTTCTGTAGTAACATGCATTCACTCATTACAACAAAAACATGTGAAAGTTGTCAGGAGACGTTGGGCCTCCTCCACCTCCTCCAGCAGCAATTAGCAACTAACAAAACATGTATGGGGCTTCCCAGGACAGTTGCACATCCTCTCAATTCCTCAAGAAAAGCAGAGGTGCATGAGGTGCAGAGGTTCAAGGTGCAATGAAAAATGCAGCAGAAAAGATTTACCTTGCCTTCAAAGCGCTGTTAGAAAAGACCTGTTGCAACTGATTCATCTCATGTGCCAGCAAAAGCAAACAATGCGGTGTAGTAGTACAGGTATAAAAAGATTAACTAGGAACATTTGCTGACTTGCTCTTTGTTAGGCAAGCACCCTGATACAATGGCACAGAACAAGCAAATGACTCCCACTCTCACCACCACCCTCAGTGAATCAGGCCGTGCTGTTTGATTTCTAGACCTCACCAATGGACAAAAGCAGAATTGTCTTTATAGCTACACATCAGCTGACAGAGCTTTGTGGTGACAGAGGACTGAGCCGGTTTGTTTTTAAAAAGGTACAGCCGATAACACAGGGGTGGAAAGTTCAGGTTAACTGGAAGGCCGGTCTGCCCTGGACCTTCCAGGATTTGCCTATCTGGATAGGAGCAGTGTGAATAATATACTACCAAAAACCTAATCTACAGTATCAGGAGTGTGTATGTGTGCAGTGCAAAGGCACAGAGTTGAAACAGCTGCTTATTGTGTTACTGCAAAAGAGAAAAGACCAACTGTCACTGAACTATAGATGTTCACATTTATAGCACTTTAAGGACTTACTTACGCTCTCCTTTTTGCAGCTCCATCTGCTGAGAAACATGGTGTGATACAAAAGCAGAGCAACTACTAAATGGACTCTATAACAATCAACTTTAAATCACCAAAAGTCTGATAATTCCTGAGACTCAGACGCTGCAGACGTACCATCATGTGCTCAAAGGTCCAAATGATCACCTAGAATAATGACAGCCCTACCATTTATATTTCATTCTTTGGATAACTTAGACGTGAGGTTGAAGTTATTTTGATTAAAGTAGGCTTTGTTTAAGTTTACCATCAGGTTTTATCTTATGATTCACATAGTCTAACATTAAAAAAAAGAGCACGAGTTGACAAGATCAGCTTGAATATTGGACATTTGTTCTCATACAAAGAGAATACATTAGGTTGTAAAGAATGAACATCAGGTAAGCGAGCAGCACACCCTGCCATGAAATATATAATTCATGTATATTTATTTATCTACTTGGTTGCATGTAAGTTATACGTTTGTGTGCAAGTACATCGAGAGCCACTAGAAAACAGCCAAATCCCATGTATGTAACTTTGCCAATAAAGCTGATTCTGAAATTCAACTTAAGTGTAAAACATCTTGCAATAGTCATCCATAGCCCATTTCAGTTTCCTCCCAAACCAAACCCTCAGCCAACTCCTCAACTACCATATCTAGTTTTATTATACCACATAATAACCTTTTAATGGGTCACTCACAGTGTTTCTGCCCATAACCCTGGTGCCCACCTGTCAAGGTTTTCATTTACATCATTAAATAAGTTGGGGAAAAAAGCAAACCTGTAGTGTTAAATAATATGGTTTTCCCTTCCTGACTCACCTCAGTAACAATCAGGAGGACACATTTATCAACATTAAAGCCTTTAACACATTCACACACTGCCTCTCTCTCCCTCCAAACGCCTTATAGTGTAAGCTGGAGGGGAACACATGCGCTGACAGCTTCAGAGGACACTATGCTCACTCAAATTCTCCCGCCTTGCCTCTTCACTTATCAGTAACACACACATACACACACACACACACAGCAAGAGTGCGAGTCCAGTGTAACTGACATACCACAGCAGTTCAGATCCGTCTCACATGGAGGCATCTCAACTTTGTCAAAACCACATGGATCCAAAACACGAGAGAGAGAGAGAGAGAGAGAGAGAGAGAGAGAGAGAGAGAGAGACATACAATCACCTTTTCCAACCTCCACTTACATTTCAGAGCCTGGATCAGAGCCTTGCCGTCTTTGATCAGCTCCTTGATGAACTTGTTGGTCTTGTCCAGCTCCAGTTCGTGGGACTTGAGTCTCTCCCTGAACTGCGGGCTGTCCAAGTAGCAGTCACTGAACTCCAGAGCAGGTAGTCCCATCTTCTTTTCCACCACCACCACCACCGGCCTCGACACACACAACCTGGACGACCCGGCAAAAAAAAAAAAGCTCCGAACAGAGGAAGAGGATGAGGAGGGAGGCAAACCTGGAGTACTGCTGCTGCTGCTGGAAATGATGGAAAATCCAATTACAACATGTAAACAACGGGGCGGAGATGTAGCCTATGTCCGAGAGAAAATGCCAACCTACATAACCTTGCTTTTTTTCTTTAGTTAAGGTAAACACTCAAGTTGACACCACCAAGAGTCCTCCTGTGTCTTTCCAGAATGGCAGCAACTGCCGCAGTCCGACACGGCATCCAATTCAATGAAATTATTTTGTAAAAAAAAATAAAAAAATAAAAAGTCACAGCAGAATAAGTGTTGTGGAGGTCGGTTAAAAGAAAACACTTGCTCAGGTAAACCGGTGCTGCATTCCTCTCGACCAAGTCATTGTGGACCGGACAGAGTCAGACCAGGGGCGAGGAGGGAGGGAGGGAGGCAGCAAAAAACAAAACTAGCCTCGTAAATGCGGTGTCTTCCCTGGGCGGTTTTAAACGCACTGCTTTCCTCGAGACCCGCTCAGCTCGGCGCTGCAGACCGTAATCAACCTACCAGTGCGCGGATAATCCCCGGATTGACGTCTCTCTCGGCCAATCAGGTGGCCAGGGGCTGGAGGAGCAGGCCAGTCTTGGGGGCGGGTGTGCGGTGAGCTACTCCAAAACAGAGATACAGAAAAAAGAGAAGAGGGCTCACTCTGATCTTGTTTGTAGAAACGATGTTGCTGGAAAGTACATTTACTCAAATACTGTACTAAAGTGCAATTTTGAGGCATTCTGCTTCTTTTTAACTCCAAATTTGATATCCTTACTTACATTGCATATTTATATTGATGATACAAAATAAAAATAAAAACTATTATCATAGGTTAAGCAGTAGCTTATATGAAGTAGTTAAAATTGCTTTAATAACTTTTCCAGTTGCAACATTAAAGCAAGGTACACATTAATCTATCACTAGTTATAATCCATATTGGGCCATTGTGCATAAAGAGTAGGATAAAGAGTAGGCCTACTTCTAGTGTTGGTACATTAAGTATATTTTGAGTAAGCCTATTTTCAGTATATCTGAGCATTGAGTACACACTGGAGACAGACAGTAAAACTATAAAAAAAAGACTTTTCTAACAAGCAGGTCATATTAGCCTGTTAGCATTTGACATTTTACTACTTAGCACATAGCACCTTACCGCTGAGGATGACAGAAATGTCACTAGTTTGTGGTATTTGGTCATGAACTGGATTGGAAAAATTTAGATTTTGACCTATAGATGTGAGATTTCATGGAAAGCCATGCAATCAACAAAGTCATTGGAATTTCTCCTCTACTGACCTTGAATAGGTGCAAATCCACTGCAATTTATAAGATATTCAAAACCAAAAATATAAATCTCCTAGTGGTACTACAGGAAAAATCAGAGGGATTCATCCTCTGGAGACCATGAATGACTGTAAAAGAAAAAAAAGAAGATTTATGGAAATCCAATAGCTGTTAGGATATTTAGTTGCTAGCATGGCTAAAGACAAAAATCATGGCTTCATGTCTCATACCTGACTGAAGACCATTATGTGATATGTTGCAATACATATATGCATAATAGATCTCTAGGCCACCATTTTGTGCAAATTTATTAGACAACACATCAGACAATTCATCAGACAAGTTTACAGCTCTCAGAAATTCCCTGAATATATTGTACATAAGTCTGGTGCATTCAGGTGTTCCTAATGAGTTTGTCAATTCAGAAAATATGACCAATAATATGAACAACAGATGAATGGTGGTCACCTGCTGTCACTGGTACATGCACTACATGTCAGTGTAGCTAACATACCCAGTTAAAGAATTTAATGTCATTTTCATGAATTTAAATGATCTTATAACTAGGGGGAAACAATTATTAACATTTTAAGATGGGAATCCCCATTCAGTAGTTGAACAGTTAAAAAGTGAGTCAAGGTCAGTGTGTGTCTGTTGAGTATTACATCTTCCAGAGCATAGACAATCTTTGCATGCAGGGGGCTGGGAGCATGGATGGCTGCCTGGGAGGCTGGTTAGTGGGAGGAGACGCTGATGTCATTTCAGCTAGAGCAGGGAATTTCTGTAGAGGGGTATCTGCTCTGGATTAAAGCCTCCATCATTCTCTGGCGCCCTCTGTTGGCACAATGCTGCAACGCAACAGATATTTATTTCTTCTCACATCTTTCACTCTAAAATTATTGTGGCTCATATTCTACTTGAGAAAAAAACACTATTTGACTTGTGATGGCCGAAGAAAGCCACAAAAAAAGTATTTTTCCTTTAAATTCTCCAAGAACACAAACCTGTTATTCAGACAAATATCCTGAAAGCCTACCAAATCTGCTTTACACTAATTTATATTATATTGACTGTATATTGTAGTCACTGCCACTGCTTCTATACCATAAAAATGACTATTATTTTTAACATGTCATGCATGCCGGTGACACATGCACAGTTTATGTGTGTGGTTAATGTGTGAAAACAGCTCAGATTTAGGCGCGTTACTTCCTCTGCCAATGCAGAGCACAGCGTCTGGTCGCTTGCTCATTTCTCCATCTGTCACAATGTGGTGTGCAGAGATAGCCTCTTACAGGAAGTCATAGCCTGTTGTTTGATTATGAAGGCTTAGATGCAGGAGGCTAGTTTAAGAACCAGAATTAACCAGTTTAGTCAGACACATTGCAAATGCATGCAGACTGCTGCATGATCTGTCAGCTTTAAGGTTGGCTTGGATTGTGAATGAAAACACATATTAAAAAGTGATGGTTGGTCTTACAGAATCACTGATTACATTCAAACAATGTAATCAAATGATATGATGCATTTATAAGAAAACAGGTTGTCCTTTGGCATGCTGAATTAACATAACTTGTTGTAACTTGTGTCTGGAAAAGATGCTCTTTTCCCCTATTTTTCTTAAACCATGTTTTCTCAAAAATCAAATCAGTTTTACGTCAACATACATAGACATCACACACTATTAGTCCCTGTATGAGCTCATGTACTGTGCTGATTGTTCAGCACTAACTTTAATGTACTGATTAAAATATAATTTTAGCAGTTTTCTTTAAATGACGTCAACCTCGGACTTCTCTGTGGAGAGGGGGTTCAGTAAACAAAAGAATTTCCATTCACACTAGTATCACTAAATTTATTTAAAGGTGGCGGCTGGCAGTACCAGTACTCAGATGCTTTATGGCCATCAAGATACTGTTAATTAGATTTTTTTCTTGTCCCTCTCTAATTTCATCCTTAGCATCAACCTCTCCCAGAGAAAGCTTCCTGTTGAGAAAACAGTAATGTAATTATTGACCCGATGGCTAAAAATATGTTCATGCAATGTTTCCATTTCCTCTTTATAAGCATGAAACAAATTTCCGCTCATAAGCTGTGTTCTTCTGCCCTTCACAACAATATCCTCCCTAATTTTCAACTTAGATCACCTTAAGGTTTGAAAAAAAATCCACATTGTAGAACAATCTCACATTTACTATAGCTATAGCTAACTATATTCTATGTTTGTTCCAGTGTACTATCAAAGGTATTTATAAATCTATCACTATATCAAATTAGGAAACATGGATACATATTTGATCATTTTGTACACATTTACTTGGGATTCAGTCCAATATTTACCTTGGAAACCTTGAGAATCTCACAAGAATTTAAAATACAGATCTGCAGCTTTAAAGATATAATTTGTAACATTTCTGCATTAAAATATCTATACATACTAGACCTATGTAAGATATTTTGTCAATTTGTGTACTTACATTATCCCAAATGTTTCCAACAATGTTCAAACCCAGAGAAATCCGTAGTTTTACTCAGGTAATGATTCGTTTCACTGGTTGCCTGTCAATGACTTCATATCTCCTTTGGTTGTTTTTAACTATACATTTTAACCCAATGAAGATTTAAGTCATCATACATCATAAGTTATCAGAGGAACAAGCTGAGCTAACATTAACAGCAACTTCGCTTGCTGCATCTGTTAAACACAGATTTTTAAGGTGGAACTGCTTTATTCAGACACAATGTGTGCAGTACAGGATGTGCAGCACACAGAAAACAATTGGCAGCTTTGTAGGGGTAAACCACACATACATAATTTCTATTGGTTGAGGTTTGTTACTTTGCCGGTCAACGTTTACTAGGTCCACGCAAGGTAGAGATGCAGATTTGCTTTGCCATTGGATGTGACTGTTTTATTCGCCCCTTCACTCACACAGAACAGAAGTGAACGGGAGACAAATATTCACTAATGTTGATTTTGTGTATGTCTGACTGTGACCTTGTGACAGAGTGTTTGAGAGACGAAGTTGGACCATTAGTCAGTCGAGTGTTGAAGTGTCCTAATTTGCCGTGTCTCTTTCAAAATGAATAGGCTGGCTGTTGGTATCCGAAGCCCATTAATCTGTGTAGGTCAACAAGCTGATTCTTCTCACATAGTAGAGCGTGCACCCCGGTGGCTATGAAATGTGCAAAAATTGGCAACACCCCTATCTAGAGCCAGTGTTTGGTTTGTCCCTTCTGGGCTACTGTCATGGCAGTTTAACATGGCGGACCCCATGAAAGGTGACCTGCTGCACCTGTAGATATATACAGCTCATTATAAGATAACAGAAACAACAATTCCTATATTGTATTATACACTGTATTATACACTAATGAAAACATACCTATTAATATTATACTACATTTCTGCCAAAACAGCTTCCTAAATGTTACACACTGGACCTTTAACATGGGCACCTAAAGGACGCGGGCAGCTTGTCAAGGTGCTTCGGGGTGCTTTCACCTCTAAACAGCACTCCATGCACCAAGAGGCATGTAAAAGCACACAGTTGAAGGACCAGTGTGTAATTTAGTGGCATCTAGTGGTGAAGTTCCAGATTGCAAATAACTGAACACTGCTGGTATCTGCAGCCAGTGTTTGGTTTGTCCTCTCGGGCTACTGTAGAAGCATGGTGGACTCGACACTCAGCATATGTAGATAAGAACGACTCATTCAGAGGTAATGAAAACACAACGATTCCTATATTCAGGTGGTTGTACACTAATGAAAACATACCTATGAATATAATATTCCATTTCTGCCAATAGATCTTCCTAAATGTTACACACTGGACCTTTAAAGAGAGATATTTCCCCCTGGAAGTTTGGAAAGCAAAACAGAGCTAAAAGGAGAGTTGATCTTTAACTTAAATTCTCCAGGTGGATCCAAACACAACTCCACTTGAATCCTAATGTTCCTACACTCCACACATACTGGATCATTTTTCATAAGGTGATGCCATGTCAAGCACTGAAAAATCAAACAAACTGGGTTCAAACATCACCAGCACAACATAATTGTTGTCTGAGTGTGTATGCAGTATACTGTAAATGTGTTTTTCATCTGATTAGTGAGTGGGTGTCTCACAGCTCCCTAACAATGGTAAAAGGAAAACAGATCATTTTAACATATTGTGCTGCAATGAGAACTTTAGCCAACTAAAGTGTGATTAGAATTGTACATGTTTACCTACAGTAGGCAGAAAATAGACATATTCTGCCATCTCCTGTTGAATAGAGGTAAAGCAGCTTTTAAAAAAAAGCCTGAGAAGCTCAGACTGAACAGTTGAGATAAAGTAGGTCAGACACTCCACTTTTTTGGGCAGTGTAGTCCTTCTTTTTTGCTGCACATTCTCTGCAAAGTCTTATATCTCAAGATCATACAACTTAAGAAGGCAGTTTTTCTTTTTGGGGATGAATTATGGAGAAGAGCTTGAAGTATCCATTAGATGAAGACAGAGATGAGGCAACTACTGTGAATAATTCACCCAACCTGCACACTACTGCTGTTTATTGCCATGCAAGTGCAAGACAAATAGTGTGCCAAATAAATACTGAGATGGCTGTGTTCTTCAAAGTAATTTCCGCCGGTTTCAGAAATATTAATACCCCACAGCACATGTCAAAATATATATTTTTCAATTCACTGCATTCCCTTGTTAAGTTATCACAACATAGATTAAATTCTTTTGGCGAGTCCTGCAACATTTGTTCACTCTGTAATCTGAGAGGTGGAGTGACACACAAGATTTTCATCTAAAATCACATCACATCTTCCCCTGATCTCATGCCTTATGACTGTACTTCTTATTTATTAAGGTTAAGATTATTTATTATCAAGTGTATTTTTATATTTTATCTTTGAATTTTATTGTTTACATATTTTAACTTTGCAGCAGTCTGAAGCAAGTCCTGTGATCCTGTAATGTGACCAGGCTGAGGCATTATGTAAGATGATTTCTGGGAACTGAAGTCACCCTCCTTTGTGTCTTTTATAAATGTTTATATTGTGTTGCTCACCAGTGTCTCCAGGAGGACACCGCTATAAGAATGTATCAGCGCTTAGCCAGACAGGCAGCCATGCTTATTTCCAGCTTTGGATCCCACGGCCAGGACACTTGCGTCACTCTCTCTCTCTCTCTCTCTCTCTCTCTCTCTCTCTCTCTCTCTCTCTCTCTCTCTCTCTCTCTCCCTCATACCCTGATAATTTTAGTCCTGACGTTTGCCTGTTAAAATGAGCCCTCTGACGTTTTTAGAAGGGTGGTGAGGTGAGGAGGGGGGTGGTAGAGAGGGTACAAATACAGACATACACACTGAAGTCTTTAAAGTCCAGCCATTTCTCTGGTGGAGAAACAAGGAAGAAAGTTTTGGCACGCAGAAACAGTAAAAAAAGAGGAAAAGAGGAGGACATGCTGGCTCATCAGAGGCACTGCCACTTTCTCACAGGTATGTGACTGATTCACTAGATTAGAGAGAGCTTTGCCTGTTGTGTGGGAATGCAGTTGGCTAGTAATCACATGTGCTGATTCATTGACAAATCTTTGATAACAGCAAAGCAAGTTGATACTGATCTGTATTAATTTAGGTGGTCTGGCTTGTGTGCATTTGTATTGTATGTTTTTGTGATATCCTCATAACTTCTAATGAGACATCTATGAATCAACAATATTTTATTCCCATCATAACTTTACTCTTTAATCACACTTTAATCCAAAACGTCGTCCCCTTTCCACTATTTTCCCCCTGATCCAAACATGCACACAGGTGCAATCTCTCCTCCCACGCATCTGCACTCTGACTCAGTCAGCGATTGGACTTTTGACGTCATTGCCCATCAGCAGCTCCCTCTGAAGGTCCCTGTGGATCAGTCTGGCTCTAACTAATCTCTCATATCCAGTAGGACAACATTCTTCCACAGGTCCTGTTCTTAGAAAAAGAAAAAAAAAACAACTTTGAGTGGGTAGGCCTTACATTCCTCTTGTGGCTTTGCACTGCTCTGTCTTTCGCTTTCCTTCTCCCTCTCTCATTCCCCTCTCCCTCCCTCTGTTTCTTATGCCTTTCCTAGATATTTCCAGATGTGGGTTAGCCTGGCTCTTTTGCAGTTATACTCTACCTCTGGCTACAAATGATAACAAAGACCAGAATTGTATAGTACTGCTGCTGGCCAGGTCCTTCACTGCTTCCCTTGCTCCTTAACATTTGACAGACTTTATGACAGCCGCTGTTGCTCTGGGACCTTTACCCTCCAGGATATTGAGTTTACACTGACATTGTGGCTTTAAACTGGGCTTGATTGTTTTTTGGATAAGCTTATGAGGAAGCAGACAGTCCAAGGGTAAGAGAGACAGGGGCTGGACGGATTCTAGTTCCACAAGCGGAAAGATTTCAAGTGGCTGCTGGAGATTTATTTGCCTGTTAAATGTAGTCGGCTAAAGTCAACTGAATTCAGGGTGTTAATGTAAAACGTTTTTGCGTCAAACAGTGTGAGCATAAAGGCTCTTGTATTTCACTTTGTAATGTGTTAAACTGTTGCATATACTTGCTAGACTATTGCTGGCACTTGCAACACTTCCAGCAGGGAGTAATACCATCACTGCAGACTTTCTCTGTCCTTCGTTGTGTCCACATGTTGTTTATTTTGTTGTCTGGCCTAGCACGGCTTTCAGGTGAATGTTACATCACTGCCATCTGGAAATTATTTTCCCAAAGAAAGAAAGAATCTATGTGATGTTCACTAGGAGTTTAGACGTTTAGCAGCTCTGACTGGCCTCCATCCAGATCTCATTACCTGGCCGGTTTCATCACTTTTTAAAAAATAGAATCCCATAAAAGGTTGACAGAGGGAAACAGAGACACAGAGAGAGGGAGAAAGTTAGTGATTGAAGAAGGCTGGGGAGGGGAGCATTTCCAGTAATCATCATGAAGGCGGCGTTGTCCTTCCCTTCCTGTTTTCTCTCGTGTCTCAGACACAGTCCAGGTGACATGAACAGTGAACACGGTGGATCTGCTCTGTCGTTGCAGACACAGGGACATCACTCTGCTTCATCCAAGCCTCAAAGTCTCTTTAGGATGTCTGAGGGAGACGTTACAGTGCTGCCATTTGGGCCTGCATCTCTGGATCTGTCCAGGCAGGAGAACCGGACACTGACCAGACTGTACAGCCAGAACGGAGGATATCACCTGAGGATTTTACCAGATGGAACTGTGAGTGGAGGCAGGCAGGAAAATGACCCTTATGGTGAGAATGGAATTGTTTTTTTCTTTCTGTTGGATGTGTGATTGATTTTTCTAGCTGTTAAAATAATGATAAACAAAAACATAAGAGATACATTTAAGATGTTATCTTGGGGAAACTGATAACTAAACTTTAAGAAAGGAAGAATATGAGTGAATGAGTTAATAATTACTTGGACAAACTGTTCAGGTATGTAATCAGTTCCAGTAAAGTTGCTCAGTAATTTGGATCTGTTACCATAAGTACTTACCCTGTGTCCACATTTAGACGACAGGCTGTTATGTTCCCTGAAAAATACTGGGGAAATATTTATTTCAGTAGAACAACGACGGTCACATTGTGTTTAAGTAAGTTTATCTTCCACTTTATCTTTGGAAAGGCAACAAAAAAAGCTATATTGAGCGGTGTCAAATGTTTGTGTTGCAGACGTGCTGAGGCTGAAAGCTGTGAGCGTAGGAGTGGTGGTCATCAAGGGTGAGATGACAGGAAGGTACCTGGCTATGAACAAAAATGGACGTCTCTATGGATCAGTGAGTTTTTACTTTTTGGAATTTGTCACAAAATAACTGCTGCCATGAAGTAAACCTAATCTTGGGTGGAAAGATGGAAAACTATAGCATGAACGTTGCTAGATGTAATATGATAAAATCCCATTTCTCTTTCTAACTCTTACCCAATAGTTTTAGGAGCTGTTCCATTAGCGTTACTTTCATCACATCGCATAATACTTATTAACTTGTCAGTATAAGTTTAAACTCACTAATTCCTACTGTTCTTAAGTAGCCTAGGTTATTTCCACTACTCCAAAACACTGGAAAATCACTGGAAAGGGTTTTTTTCATAATCAGTAAATGGGACATATAACAGATGAGTAACATAAGCCGTTAAGGATTTGTCATGTAGAATCTTGTTTCTATAAATTGGCACTTTACGCAATGTTTTACTCTGTACTGCTCTGTTGCTGTGTGCTGTGTGTGTATATCCACACAATGAATTTACAAGAAGAATTAGAACAAACCTTTCTCTGATCTTCTCCCCCCTTTTCATTTTCTTGCCTCAGCAAGCACTGAGCGATGAGTGTTACTTCCTGGAGAAGTATGAAGAAAACCACTACAACACATATTGCTCTCAGAAGTACAACTGGTATGTTGGGCTGAAGAGGAATGGCCAACCCAAAGCAGGACCAGACACCCACCACGGTCAGAAGGCCATCTTTTTTCTGCCAAGGCCTGCAGGCAACATGTAATGCAAGACGGCACCAGGAACCATGGACACGCTCACTGAAGTCTTTAAATGCACAGTAAAAGTGCAATATTACGCTGGGCAAAGTATCCTATTGAAAGGTCACTTAAAATCAGTACAAAAGCCCGGGGTAAACGCATAATACTATTCTGACAGTTAGTTCAAGCCCTATTTTCATGTTAATAACCTAAATGTTTGTTTATTCCCCTACTTTATGCAGGGAATATGCGATTGAGCAAAGCAGCTTATACTGTATATGATCATGAGTGCTTTCTCGGTACAAGCACATACACAGCTTATCACTGCAGACAAAAAATGTGTGCGGTATCAGTGCATGTCAGTCTTGATAAATGGGTGTTCACTTTGAACCCTGGTATGAAATACCACTGCTGGAAGACAGCTTTTACACAGAAATAGTTTTATAATTGATCATGTCTGGCACAAAGGAAACCAACAAGGCAGTAAAAATAAGAAAGCAGACCGTCTGGTGTTGAATTCAAACGCAAGCAAACAAAGTCTACAGCAAAGGGAATAATAGTGTATTTATATAATTATTTCAGTGCATTGCCCAACTGTACTTCAGTAGGGTGGATGTTTGCTGACTTCTGAATGACTGACAATCTTACAAGTAACTACTTTTAATCTGCTAAAGTCTGTTTGAAGCCTGTTTCTGTAACCATTTGTGTTCTATGTGGAAGGTCAACAGACAAATTCTGCCCCCAAAAAAAGGTTTCAAAACGTTTCAAGATCATTGGACAAAGTTAATCTGACAAAATCTAAATCAGGCTTTTGAAAACAGCACCCTTGTTTATGGTCAAGGTCAAGGTAAATTTTTATATATATATTTATATATACACACAGTATATGTACATTTAAAACAAACACAGTTGACCAAAGTACTGAACAAGATTAAAATGCCAAATAAACCTAAAAAAAACTCCAAATATCAATTCATTTATAACAATAAACATAATAGGTATGACAGCATTAGTTGTGTCAACAGAACATTTGTATGTTTGTATAATTAAATCATATTATTGTAGGCTGTTGTTATCATGTGCCCAGGTCAGCTGAAAGTCTTTAAGGCAGATGTGAAAATGTTCTTTCAGTAATCAGTGAAGTTATTATTGAGTTGAAAATGAAGAACCAGAGAAGGTTTAACATCTTGGTTACACCAAACATGCATTGAAAAAGTAAAAAAGGGCTCAGCTTCACAGCCACACCAATCTTTCTCTACACCTATGACTACAACACATGTTACTGTAACTTTAAATTACTATTGTGAATATTTATTTTTAAAGATTTATTGCTAATAAAATGTAACAACTGATCATTGTAATGGATGTCTTCAAAATAATAATTTATACATACATAGTGATGGAGGAAAAAGGTAATGTGATAGACCTTTTCACAAAGTAATACATATTGTATTAGTGTTTTTAAATGTATAAATACTGTCTGAATTATTATCCATAAAAAATTATTGTATGTTTTATTTACTGTACTATGACTGTTACTATGATTAGTGTTCTTCCTAAAACAAATGTATATAAAAGTTTATATCTGTACATACATGATTAAAGGAACATGTTATGTGTCAATACATCTGTTGCTAATCAGCTTGCTGCATGTGTATTCGTGTTTGTGGCATTGCTTATGAACATCTGTGTTTTTATTAATAAATTACACTCTTACAGGTGTTTACCAGAGACACATTCCTCCTTATGACACAAGCATTAGAAATGACAATGTTTGGCCACAAGATGGCGGCATTGCTTTTGGTTAATTGGTGTTTTGCTCAAGCTGGCACTGAGGGCTTCAAAAATCTTCAGAGTTTTAATCTGATGTTTATTATCTTTCCACGTGAGGTTCTTGTCAAATGCCAGTAAAAATAAATCATGAATAAAATACGTAAATCTAAGAAACCACACAGTTGCTGCAAGCATGTGTTTAGCCAGCTGCAGGGGCTGTACATGGGTTATGACAGTAAACGTCACAGCAAATCCTCCATCATTAAATAAAGAAAATGTCACGCAAATTAATTATATCTGAAAAATGAATTAATAAGAAATTGTACATTATTTTAGGGATAGTAAAAATCAGTATATTGAAAACAATTAGCTTAGTCTCAATTCTAATCCCACACCTTTTTTGATACATTACTTTTCCAAACACACATTTTCTACAATAGCTTTTAATTAGAGCAAAACAAAAATTTAAATGAACAAATACAGTGTTTCATTTAGTCTTAACCCAGGCAGCCGAAATTTTTTTTGTCTGAATAAAATATAGAGTAACCTTAATAAAACTGTGATTTATTTCAGAAAATATCTACTCAAAGAAGCTGGACCAAGAATCTTCTTACACAGACTTTTTTTGAGTTTGTCCAACACTTGACAGCATTACATAGGAAACGATGATGTAAAGATGTCAGCCAAGTTAACGTATCTAATGTCCTTTAAGAATAACACATTTGCACCAGTTTCATTGAAGTTGCTGCTGTCTACTTCCTTTATCCATAAAGTTGTGACAGATGATACCAGCACAATGCAGAGAAAGACCTCCAGTCACCCCGTTTTTGGAAGCAATGGCATTATTCATCTAATCCACACTTAATGTGTAACGGCTGAAACAGAACGTGGCCTGAAACGCTTGTTTCAGAGGACAATGTGCCAGGAAAAAGATCCTGGAGGAAACACTGGAACGTGGTTTAAGATGTTTGGGAGGACTGGAGCTGATTCATGGCTCCAACAAGTTCCATATTATTGTGGGCTTTAAACAGAGTTGGCAGGGAACATTACAGTAGGGTTATTACTTTTCCAAGAGTGTGACAAATTACTATTTCAAATTGGGCAATAGTTCCAATTTTAGAAATTACTTTCTGACGACCCTTTGTAAATGTCAGATCAGAGCGGAATTATCCTACTTATAACTTTCCGACCCATGATTCGTTTCCCCGATGATATTTCATTGACTCTACTAAGAAACTAAAATGTACATTCTCATTGTCAGCACTACATGACTACTTGACCTGCGATGGTGTCAGCTTGAGTATTACTGTACAATATGTCTATTTTATGTCAGTTAATACTTCCACTACATTTCTGGGGGAAATATTGTACTTTTTGCTCCACTACATTTATTTGACAGCCATAGTAAGATATTAAATGCAATAAAAACACAAGTTTATAAAACATGATGCATTATTATAGATTAAACTACCAACTTTTTGGATATTTTTCTATTAATTCCTCTTTACTGTACTTGATACTTAAGCAAAAAGTCTTAGTACTTAACGTATCCGATCCGGCCTTCTGTATAATCAGCTTCTAATACTTTATGTTATGAAAACCATCTAACTCATTGTAAGAAAAGGAAGTTTGAGAAGCAACCGAGTGATCAAATGAAAAGAAATGAATCTGTCTTCCTTCCCAAGCGCATTTGGTTTGCAAACAAAAAAACAGGTAGGTCTGTCTTACTTGAGGACACTGACCAGACACATGGCTGTTGGTGGACAAACATTGACTATTACGCAACCTGTGACCTCTCATTTACAGGACAGTCTCTCTCCTTCTTTCCACCAGGCCACCCTATGAAGCAGCACAGCATACACACACACACACACACACACACACACACACACACACACACACACACACACACACACACACACACAAACACAAACCTGGTTGGCCATTGGCCTGCAGGGCTGTGCAGGGCAGGAAGGGAATCATTCACTGTAAACTGAACAAGGACTAGCTTCCTCTGGGAGTCCCCTAGCCTGACAGCAGCCAAGATCTCTGCAACGCAAACCACTCAGCAAACACACACACACACACACACACACACACACACACACACACACACACACACACATACACAAACACACACATAGATTAACACATACACACCCTGGAACTGGGACACATTCTCTCATCTGTTACTCCTCTCTCTTTTCCTCAATTCCATCTTTCTTTACTCCCCCTTCCTGCCCATCTCTCTATTTCCAGCCTCCTTTAACCTCTGTCTCTGTCTTGTTGCTTTTTCATCATCATTTTCTCCCTTCCTTGTTCCTTAGGTATTCTTTTTATATGTAAATATATACCTCCCAATATGTTTCCCTATTTTTCCAACCTATTTTCTTACTGTTTCTCTATGTCTTCTTTCTTTTCAATCCTTCCATCAGCTAAGCTCCCTAATTTGAGGGCTCTAAACATCCCTGGATCCTTGTTGGGGAACAAATACGGCATTTAGATATACATAATGACCAATTTCTATGGATCAAAAAAGTCACTGAACCCCTGTGGTTGCTCTGCCCTGCCCCTCTCTGCTCCTCTTCTACTCTCATCCTGTTCTGGTGGCCTCATCATGAAAACAGAGATGCTTTGTCAACGTTACTGTATGCATGCTATTCCCTTCACCTTTCTCCTCCACACAAGCAACCACTCACACACACACACACACACACACACACACACACACACACACACACACACACACACAACAGGAACGGAAACAGGGGATGCATATCCGTCAGCTGATCCAACTGGAAACGCTGACACTGGTCTCCCCATCTGCTACTGCTCTCTGAGACAAGAGGGGAGGAAAGCAGAGAGAGGGGGGAGAGAGGGAAAGAAAATAGGGGGACAGAGAAAGCGAGAGGGAGCATTTTGACAACCCAGAGAATTGCCCGGATGCTTGTGGTTGGCCCTACAGCAACTGTTTTCCTAATAGATGATTTGTGCTGGATAGACACATTCTGCAGGGGCTCCAAACATGCAGCTTTCCCTCAGAGTGGGAGCGAATGGCATTTGTCAACCAATAGACCCTTTAGGATTCAGCCACAGAATACAGGAGAAAAAAAAGAGAAGAGGAGGTATTACTGTACAAAAAAAAAAAAAGTCCTGAGAGATTTATGCATGCCTCTTTGATGCGCTACGTTTGACCCTCTTCACATGGAGCTGATTTAGGTCGTCTCTTTGCTATTTCACACTGGCGTATGACCAGCTTGCAAGTATGTAAGCTGAGAGTTTCTGCAGTGTTTTGGCGAAACAAAGAAAAACAAAACAATGAGCCAAAAGCGACTGAATGCTTGTTGAGTGCAGCTTTAAGTCTCCAATGTGCTTAGGAGTTGAGTTCATCAAAGCTGCCACATTAGATGTTTTATCCACTTACTGACAGGCAGCGGTGTGCTTGGAACTGAAGTAGTGGATATGCCAGTGGTGTGGTTATGGTAGCCTAATTATTTTCAGTATTTTATTCTGAATGTTTTTTTCTGAATGTTCTGATTAGAGTGTGTGCAGGCACGGGCTGCAGAAGGTGTATATAAAAGAGCCCACACATGGAAAGGTTTAATTCAGATCAGCGCCAACAGCTACTAGCACTACTACTACTAACAATTGTGTAGGCAGGCTCTTTAAAGGAAAGGTTTGATATTTAAACAAACAAGATATAATGTGTTAATTAGTGAGCCTTAGAGATGCTGGTAGGTGGATTTTTTTTCCTAGCTGTTCCCCCTGCTTAGTCCTTATGCTAAGCTATGCTAACTGGCGGTTGGCTCCAACTTCATATTCAACATAAAGACATCAAAGTGGTATCAATCTTCTCTTCTCACTCTTGGCAAGGAACTGCTAAGCGTATTTCACTTACTGTCAAACTATTACTTTAAACTAGAGATGTTTTTTCTGATGTGTTAGGAAGTGGTCTGTTCGCATAAATAATAAATATGATAAAGTATACTGTGATATCTGTGTGAGTAGTGAAACAGAAAATACTGTACTAGGTCAGAACCAGGTGGTAAAACTCGCTTTTTAAAAAGTCAAGGTTCACTTACTAGCTTTTTCTCTCTGCTCTCTTTTTGTTGACTAGCTCCGTTGTTGTCACATGATCAAATAAAGAACTTGAGTCACATGATAACAAGAGATTGTATATGGAATCTAACTGGAATCTTCCAAGTGCTTCAATATATCAAATGTGCCCTAAATGTAGGAGGGTGGAAAGTATAAGTATTAACCATAGCCTAGTTGCCATGTGCGTATATTGTAGAAGGCATTGAGCAAAAGTTCTTATTGAATGTAATCCGGGAAAGTTTCGCCGGATGGACCATTATCAGACTCTGCACATGATCCTACTAAAGTCCTAAAAACTGTGAAAGATGGAGGATAATAGATGGGGTGATTGTTTCTCCTGTCACACCTGCACTCAGTACAACTTGTACCCACACACACTCTTCCACAAACACCATCTCTCACACACTCTTCATCCCAGTGTCTCACACGTTTTTGAGTGTGACTCTCTAAATCACTGCTTGTGCTTCCGCAGATATGGGAGAACTGTCATCCATTGTTTTAGTTGAGTAGGCACACACACACCTTGCTGAGACCGGAAGCAGGCCTGTCTTCTCAGCTGTGATGTCTCACATACACAAATACATTCTCACACACAGACCAACTGCAGAGATGACGTCTGTGATGGTCAAAAATATCCTGAATAGAATAGTTAGCAGTGAAGTCATACCCCTTTCTGCTCTTTTCATCATTTTAACATCCTGGGAATTTACACTACTGACACTTACGCTGCAGCCTGCACCAGAGATTATTTTAAAACACACTCATTCCCGCATGAACAGACACACTGTATGATTAAAGTCAGGATATTAGTTTCTGTGACCCTTTGTGGACACCGTGGCAACTGACGTATTGACATATTA